AGAACACTCCCGACCAGCAGAGGGAGATGGCACGCCGCCGTGAGCAGGAGAGGCGCAGGAGAGAGGCGGTACGCACTCAACTATAACAACAGAAACGCCACATTTTTGTTTTCTGTTTTTAAGGACATTCTTTAAGGCTTCTCGTTCTTCTCCTTTGCAGATGGCTGACACCATTGACATCAACTTCCAGAGCGACCTGATGGCCATCTTCGAAGAGAATCTGTTCTGAGAGGGGAAAAGCAGATGATAGGAGTGAGAGAAGGACCTAGAGACACACATAAGCAAATTTACAAACATGCATATATAAAACACAATGCTCTGATACACATGGTCGCTGCTCACACAAATGCACACACACAGACACATACACAAACTTGATAGTAACTGTCCCTTTCTCTCAGTAGTTGAAACAGCTGGCTTGTGTCATGTGAATGAGAGGGGGGGAAGTGAAATTGAAATAAGCAACCCTCTTTTCCTCCAACCTCAGATACGTTTTGGTGTCTGGCTTGGTGTTTATGGTTGTTGGTTCCGAGTCTTCAAGGTCGAAAACGGACAGTGAAATAATAGGATAGTTGGCTCCCTCAAGGAAAACAAGAAAGACAGAATGAAAAGGAGGGGACAGAACTTTTACATTTAAAAAAAATAAATAATAATGGTGGTGAAGAGGAGGATTTAATTTAAGAAATTAAGTAAAAAAACTTTTTCTCTAATGTCTTGAGAGGAGAGAAGAGGATTTAAAAGGAACGGGTGAACAAATTACAAACAGACAGATCACTTTGTTTTTGGTTTTTCCTCTCTTCTAATCTCGTTTCTCGTTTTTTTTTTATTTTATTATTTTAAGTTGGACTTTAACTGGGGTGGGCTGGTGTGATCTAGTTTGTCAGGTTCAGCGGTCATCTGAGAGTCGGTTGTTTTCTCAGGACACAGTGGGAACGCAACACCCCCGGCCACATTCACACACTTTTCTAAGACATCTTTCCTCCCTTCACTTCCTTCTAATTCTCTCTCCTCGGTCACTAATTGGAGAGGCGGAGGCTTCAGGTGATGCTCAGTGTGTGCGCTGAACATCCGATGGCGACGAGGAAGGAACGATGGCATTTTAAAAGTTTCAGAGTGTGTCCTTTGCCTTAGCGCTCTGGCCTGTAAACTAACAATCATACCCTACAAATTATACATATTATATATATAAATAGATACATGAATATATATTATATACGACGAAAAGTCAATGAAAAAGAACATGAGAGGAATTTGGATTTCGGGGAGCTAAGCTCGTCTCTGTGTTCATCTCTGAGCTCTGGTTTTGATTTTGTAGAATTTACTGTAAAGAAGAAAAAAAAACTTTTTTATGATTCTATTGAGAGGATTGTTTCGTCTGTCTTATTCTCTCTCATACCTTTTTGTTTGTTTTTTTTCTCAACTCTATGCCAAAACCAATCTATTGAGTGCTGAAAGTTCATTCACATTTTCTACATGTAAAATGCATCATCTTTTCACTTTATATTAAAGGCTAAGTTTTTATTGCTATTTAATTTTCTTTTACCCCCTTTTAAATTCAAAGTTATGCAGCAGTTTGCTCTGTAATAGTCAAAAAGCGGTTCCAAACTCACTATGTCACTACTTTACAAGGCCCCATCATTCTGTAGCTGTTCAACATCTGCACTTAACTCTTTCATTACTTACATCTTCTCTTTTTAAATATTTCCTTTCATCATGTACATGTTTTTAGTCTTTCTTAGCCATCTCGTCCACCACTATCTTCCTCACAGCTTCTTCAGTCTGTATAATAGGTTCTTGTTTGTCATCTTTATGTCTTTTAGTTTTTATTTTTAAAATGTTTTCATCGTCCATGGTAACTGTTTTGGGATGTCGTGTGCCATTGTGTTTTTCTGGAGGCGGGAGGTTTTCCGGGTTTCCTTAGGTTGGCCCAGAGATCTGTGAGTGTTTTCAATTCTATAATCACTTTTTTTTTAATGTTTCATTCATTTCTTTTCCCTTTTCATATTTGATTGTTTTGAGTTTATTTTGTTTTCCCTTTGCTATTTTTCTCTGATTTATTTTAGCCAGAACAACCTGTTGGTATGTTGGTGAGTGAGGCATTGAGGTCAATAGATTCATCTTGTTCAGATTATGGAGTACAACATCTTTTTTAAGAAAAGTATTAAAATAATATTTAAAAAAAATCTTTAAAAACCTTGTATTTGTCTTTTGTCTTCCACACTGTGAGAGTTACTCACACACACTGAACACACACACACTGTATGTCTGTGATCCAAATTGTTGCTTGCTTCCAATTTCAGCCACAGGGAGGCGCTATAAAGAAAGAAAAGTTCAGGTACAGTTTGAGCTCTTACTCAGTGGGATGTATTTACATACCCTGTGTGCAGCCTTAGTCTGAGGCTCTTTTTTTTGTTTGTAGCAAACAATATTATCTTTGGGTTCTTTAAGCCCTTTCCTGTTTGAACATGTCAGTGCCTCTGTGCCCCTGTGGAAGAACTGGACTAACCAGCACAGCCCTGACCTCAACCCCATCTAACACCTTGGGGATGAACTGGAACGCAGACTGTGAGTGAGACTACACCCAACATTAGTGTCCGACCTCACTGATTCTTCTTGTCGCTGAATGGCAGCCAGGATCTGGTGGGAAGCCTCAGAGAAGAGTTATAGATACCGTATTATAATAATACAAAATCTGGTAATAATGTACCATCTAATAATAATAATTATTATAATTAAAAACATAAGTGTGTCACAGGAATAAAATGAAACTGTAAGAAGTTACAGCATACAGAGGTATGATTAAAATAGTGAAGGACAATGAAATGCATAAAATTTAATAAAAACCCTTAGATTTTTCTAATATATTGTGATAAAGATAAAATATAAGTATATACAAGTAAAGATATTTTACAGCTGCACCTTTAATTATCAAAGATGGCAGTAACATTAAATATAAATAACAAGTTTGGGAAGAAAATTTGTAGGTGTAAAGGAAATAATTTGCAACTATATTAAACTGTTTATTTACATTCATCCCTATATATAATCAATAAACCAAAGAATTTGCAAAAGGTAAGGTAAAATATAATATTCTGCCAATAAGACATTTATTGCTAGTTTACTCCGTTGCATTGTTAGTAAACGTTTCATAAGCCTGACTTACATACAAAGTGCACCGTTTTATGATGCATTAAACAATATACAAAGTCTGAGGGGGAACTTTGACTGCCCAATAATGTGTGAAAAACAAACAGAAAGAAAGTAAATGTCAGTCAAAAATAAAGTGCACAGAAGGTTTCAAGAGACTCAAAGGATTCTCTGTAATTGGAGCACTGTGCAGGATGTATTTTTACAACAGAGGATGTTGTGGTTGAGGCCAGTTCAAACCAGCGGACAGATTCAAGTGTCATCAGTTGCGTGATTCTAACAGATCCAAAGGAAGTTTGGACACCGCCGCTTTGCATTGTAGGACATTGCCTCGACCCTCGTGTGTCACACATCTGAAACCTTGGTGCACACACTGCTAACAATACTGTATACACTGTTATTTAAACTGTATCCTAAACTGTGTCTCCTGTGGCCTTGAGCTGTCTGATAATGTGCCTAGTACACTGATAACCGGGCTGTTGTGAGGATCTGTTCCGTTCAACTGCTCTTTATCTTATTCAGCAAGCAGAAAGCTTTCCCTGTGCATTGTCTTTGACTTTCAAATGAGTGCCTTTGTGTTTTTTGCATAACATGTGACCTATAAAAATCAAATCCAGGGCGTGACAGAAACCTTACTGCATCTCCAAAACCCCCACTTCCTTGGAGGAGAGGTTAGTGAAACTAAATGTGGGAAAGCTGCCAAGCGGGGCCATGAATTTATCAGGTGAGGATGAGAAAAGCCCAACATAAAGATAAGGGATGCTGCTGGTATGCTGCACTCGCTTCTTCCTTCTCTAGATAAAAATGACAGTAATATATAGGAGAAAGAGTGCATATCTAAATAGTCTGGGAATGTGAGAATAGTAAAGACTGAGAGTTTGTGGCAACCTGGAAGTGAGATTTATGAATTCAAGAGGAGAAAGGGAACATGGGAGCATTTGAGGCTTCTTCAACGAAGCAAAAAGGTAGCAAGAGTCAATTAGAGAATGACAGGCATATGTGAATGAATAGCAGAGAAGGAATGAGAAACATTAGTTACTACTGCGTGTGGCAACAGATACTGGAGAGCTGCCTCAATGAGTAAGCTTTGAGTGTCCGTGGAGCAGTCATGTGATCCTCTCATGGCGGCAGAGAAGCACAGCTCTCAGCATTCTTGACCTCCTCTGTTCAGGTTCAGTTTGTTTCATATCTACCATTATAGGAGAAAGGTGCATTTAGCCATTTATGCATTTAAGCACAGTTTTATATTAAATTTAGTTCTGTTTTGTGAGATGCAATACTTTGTTTCTCCTCTACATTAAAAAGGGAAATAGTTTTTAGCTTGTGACCCTTTAAAACAAAGTAATGTCTACTGTTTGATTTAATATTTTTTACACACCTGAAGAGGTCAAATTATGGAGAAAATAAACATCATTTTGTGAGGCAGAAACATGCTTTTGTCGGCTTCCCCGCACTTATCTTGTAACCTCTCAGATATATTATGTGACTCTTCTTGGGAGGACCCCGACACAGTGGGAGCCACTGCTTTACAGAATAACATTCTCTGTGCAAGACATAGAAAAGAAACAGTGAATGCTCTTTTTAATGCTCTTTCCAAGATAACTAGGAAGCAGCTCAGTAGCAACAGCAATATAAATAATAAGTATAAAAGGAACACTGGCAAGTGTTTCTATGAATTTGTACAACTTATTTGCATCGATGACGGTAAGTTAAATAAGTGCCCGGCCTACAAAGAACACAAACCACATCCTCCAAGATAATCATACAGCTAAATCAACAAGTCTCTCAGACAGTTTCAACAAAACCATGCACCACTGTATTTGACTTAACTGTACCTGAACTGAGCGTATTATCGTCTTATAAAGTTGATATGGCGAACGTTTTAGCAGACGGTGTATCTCTTCACACTCAGCAGATACGGAGCAACATGAGCATTCATTCGGAGTCCAGTCTTTGGTCGCAACCAACTCCAGAGGGAAAATATCCGCTAGGTGTGTCAGCAAAAACAGCTGCCAGCGCCATACTGCCAGTGTCTGGATATGATGTGAACCCAGAGAGGAAACCACAACAGTAAAGTTGCGGGATGTAAAACCAAAACAATTAGCTGAAAACTGCTAAAATGCCTTGAAAAGCTGAGGGAAACTGCAGATTTGGGTGACACTGAATGGACACACTGGACTTTAATCTTACTCCCCAATTTCTAGACCTGTGCTTTTACTCAATAAAAAGATTTGAATACATTTTCATGCAATCACTCATCAGTAGTACAAACACTTAAACAAATTCATACATTTTATGTTAATATTGAGGCCTTTTGTCTCTGCTATAGCAAACGAAACCTAAAAACTCCACATTGTCTCTTCTAACAGGCCTGACCACACGGAGGGCTGCGTCCACTCAGAGTTTCTGGTGCCATCTTTTGAGAGAGAAAAATGTGTGCATTTGTGAGGAGGGGTTGGAGGGGATTTGACATTGTGCAGTCCCACAAGCCAACAGCTTGTACTGCACATGTATGGCCATGTATGGCTTCCTCTTCGGGGCTCAGATTGAGTAAGAACCACCACAGTCTTCCCGTTATGCCATTAGCGGGAAGACAAGAGCAGCGAGGGGTGGAAATCACTGACAAGGGCAATCGTTAGGACATCAAGGCACTCCCAAAATCGATGCCAGATGACAATAAGCAACTCCATATGTGATTTATGCACACGCAAACACATACAGTCACACTACAGACATTGCCCAATACCCCACATAACTCTGACAAACACACAGTTTTTGCACACTTGCTGACACATGCTGCTGCTTACCATGAACTCGCTCTCGTGCTCTGAATCTTTGTTTTATGGTGCACATGGCCGCCTGTGGGAGGTGATCTGGCTGTCATTCAGTTGTTGACTAGGCCTTCCCTCTCTGTCTTTGCTGTTTCACCACACACTGGTTGAAAGTGTTCACACCCTCCTCGATAAATCACTCTGAAGCACCTCTGCTTTTCCTCCGTTGTTGTCTTGGGATCCACACATTTCCTTTTCCTCCGTTTTCTGCTTCCTGTTCTAAAATAGAGCTTCCTTCGGTCTGTTTTGACTTTTTTAGCAACTTTTTTTTAAATAACCTTCTGACTGTTTTTGCATTGCTGTTTCATTACTGCCCCATGAGCCCCTGGTCACATAATGCTGAGCAGAGGCAGTGATTCCCACATTGTTATAAAAAATGAGTGTGATAGCTATATCAGCTAGACAGACAAGTGACAAGTGCCCTCTATCTAGGGTGCTGATCTTAACCAAAGCTGTTTCACCATAAATGTGTCACATCTTTCCACTAGTTTCCTCATCATTTTCTTGCCCCTGCCCCTCAGCCTCTGGTTATGATTATAGGATGGGAGCAGTTAAAAGTAACAGATAAATGGTTGAAATAACTGACTACCTACTAAACGAGTAGGTAAGCGTTTGAAAAATCTCCCATATGCTGTGTCAACTAGTATGATGTATTATTGTAAAACATTATTACTGTTACTGTTGTATCATGTGTTTACTGTGGTTGGAGAAGCTCTCAGCATAGATCCAACTGTTGCACTGTTCTGCAACAGATAATTAAAATAAATTCAATCGAACTTTGCCCAACTCTCTCTCTTTTCTCGTAATTTTGGGTCTGACAGAGAGATAGAATGGAGTCATTGTTCCTCATGTCAAAAAGGAACTTTATGAAATAGTGTATAACCACATCTACAACTGCTGATCGTGGTACTTCCAGTGAAATTCCTTGATTTTGCTGCAACATTTTTCCCGCTTTTAAATGCTGTTTTGACCATGCCTTAATACTATCAGTCCAAAGCCATAAAGTTAATCACTGATCGTAGAAAATCAATCACGGTTTTGTCACCATCAATTTTTCCATGTTGCCTGTTCCATGTGCTCTCTTGCCGCTGTTTAATGTTCACTAATACAAAGAAAACTGCCATCAGATATAATTCATGATCCAATATGAGCAAATTTCAAACCTTAAATGTATTAGTATATTGCTCTGGCCTGCTGGTAACCCTGGCCTGGTAGGTATTATGGCCTAACATGAAAGATTTATTTGGTCGTGTTCTGTAACAAACAGGTGTGGAAGGCATGGAGGGCAACCAGCATCCTTGTCGCCATGGCGACAGCGTACGCAGCCTCCGGGCAGCTGTCTGTGACGCTGAGAGGAAATAAGAGAATGGAGAGGCTCAATACATCAAACTGGAAACTATGACCGCTGGAACACACACATCGGCTGGACACTGAGACACGCAACCCGCCTAATAAGGAAAGCAGAGTGTACATGTTGAACAAACACGCTTGTCACATTTCTCACACGCTAACCTCCACACACTTTGCCATTTATGTAAACAGGGAAGAGTTCACTTTTTCCTCGCCCTGTCTTCTAATTCTTGCACCATCTCTGTCTGCCGCGCAGCCGTCCTGTTATTTCCTCCTTATCTTTTCCCTTCCCCTTTTCTCTGCTCATTTTCATTATGAGACAGTAGTATTTCTGATAGGCCTCTGATGTCCCATAAACCTTATTGCAGCAATATCACGCATAAACAGCTCATCCTAAGCTGCGGGTTCATCCCACGTAGTCCTCTACCAAACTGTGGAAAAAAGGCAGGATGGCCTGATACAGCTTCAATTTGTCTGATGTAAAAACAGCCTCTCTGGATTATGCCCACTCACTGGGGGTGTGAACTGGGCTGCCAGTGGCCCGCGTGCCCTCGTCTTCTGAATAAAAGATGAGCAAGCCTATTGTTGCTGGAGGTTGGTGGTGTTGTTTCTGTGGCTGTCATTGTCATTATTGTATTGTAGGCTATTAGAGGCAGATCTGATTGTGATGAGGACAATGTCAGTAGGTCTGATGAATGAAAAAAGGTGTGGAAGTGAAAATGTTAAATTGTTTATTAAATCACGCAGTTGAATTATTATCACCTGAAGAGTGGGAGTGGAATGTATCAACATGCACACAACTTTTTCATTCATACATTGCAGCAAACCATGGAATGGATTAGTTAAGCTTCATGACAAAAGGAAAGCTGCAGCTGCTCTGAGAATTAAAAACCCCCAGTAATGGACAGTGGTGTAAAGAACTTGTATGGTTGTTTTGAGTCTGAAACTCTGAGACTCTCTATTTACATTCATTCACTGTTAAAAGCAGCAGCAGCAGATTAAAGTATTTTAGGTATTTCCCCTTTACAGTGGACAGTTGAAAGGTGACAGGAAACATGGGGTAGACAGTGAAACGTCCGCAACCGGAGTTAAACCAGGGATCACACGGATGTCTTTCACAAGCTCATGAAATCACCTCTCTTTGTTTGTCTTGTGTCCTTTGTTTTTGTCATTCATTAATTCATTGTTTCTCTCATTTTCTCCTTCCTTCCCCTAAACTTCCTACTGTTTACGTTCGGCAGTGTTTTCCTGCTGTGGCATTGTTTCTTTCAGTTTAGCAAAGGATTTAAGTGCTTTTTCTTTACTGATAAAGAACGCAAACTTCGACTCAGGCCGTTCTTTCAGTTACCAAGAGATGACAAAGAAGGAGTCAGTAACACCCTACTAATCAGTTGACAGAGGATTTTATCTGTTTTAGTCCATTGTAATTTGTTTAGTTATTTATTTTCTTTATTTCCTTTCCTTCTTTGTATTACTTGGTTATATATTTTGTATAATTTAACAATGCTCGTTTACCAATGCTGGAAGAAGTACCAAGATTTTAACTTAATGTACAAATACAGTACTTTTACAATTAGAATTGACTAGAATAGAATAGAATAGAATTCATCAAAATATACTTAAAGCACCAGAATAATGTGTCATATTACTGGATTATTATTACTGATGCATTCATGTGTTCATCACTTGAAGCTGGTGAAGGTGCGTCGCTTGTGAAGTCCCCCCGGGGATCGATAGTTTTATAATAACACATCATAATTGATTTGTCGACTATATTGTGTAATCTAAACTAAATGTAGGGAGTAGAAGTATAAAATAACAGAAAGTGGAAGTACTCAAGTACAAGTCCCTTAAGTACAGTACTCGCTTAATGGTACTAGTTACTTTCTACCAGTATTTTGAAGTTAAGGAAGTGTACACAAAGATCATATGCAGGTGGTTCTGCAATAAAGTTTCAGTACTGCTATGTTATATAGAGAAACATGACCTCCTAACCTTGAGCATCACCGCTCACACAATCATATAAACCGAGCCCTGCTGGCACTGCCGATCACTCTTCAGCTCCACCACCATCATTGGCTGCTGTGCCTCCCTGTCAGCCAACAGGGGGCAGCTGGGGCGGATACCAAGAGTCCCAGGTTGGCAGGAGCAGAATACCAAAGAGCTCCAACCAGCTCCTTTGTGTGTGTGTGTGTGT